ATTGGCTGGCCAGCCTTTAACACCTGCACACCACAGAGCATTCATATTTGCTATCCAAGGGGGCTTGGAGTTTTGTAGCAACAGCCTGGGGATGCCTCACTGGCAGAACAAGTATCCATGTGCTGAATGCGATGCACAAAGACCAACTTTCAAAGGCATCAAATGCCCTGAAGGCAAATCAGTGAAGGAGCTGAAAGAAGAGCATCAAGACTTTGTTTATGTCACTCCTGAGCAAGCCCTCCTTGATAAAAGGAGTGGTTTGCATCCCCTTTTTGATGTGCAGGGATCAGCACTGCACTGGTGAGGGGGACTCACTTCACATTGTACATTCAAGGGGGGTTGCATCACACCTTGCAGGATCTCTCTTGCACTACCTGTGCTTTTTCGATGGAGTTGGAGCAAGACAAAAAATTGCACCAGCACAAAGGCTCCAAAGAATATTTGCCAGAATCAAGGAGCTTTATAAAGAACTTGGGTTTCCTCAAGGCTGACCAACTTGCGATTGTCCATGATCTGTGATGCTTCTAAACCACATGCCCAGCATGCCTGCCTTGAAGCCAAGGCTGGAGAGACAAAGCATTTCCTACCTCCACCCCTCCAGGTTGCCAGTGAGGCTTTAGATGATGAAGAGCCTATTCACCAAACTATGATCAGTTGCCTGGAGGCAATGGTCAAGATTGATGCTCACTATGATTCCATTGGGATCTTTCCAACTTCTTCACAGTTTTAGGAGGCTTGCAACCTTGCTAAAAGGGTTTTCTCCACTTATGCTGACCTCCACCAGTGGGCCTTGCTAAAAGGCAGGAAGATTTTCCACATTACCCACAAATTTCACGGCTACATGCATCTCATCCACAACAGTCAATATCTCAAATACAGGATTCACCACAATTATCGAGCTGAGCATTTTGTGGGCCAGCTGAGTGTCCTGGCCCATTCAATTTCTTTTGGTGTGAAGACATCCAAGTTATGTGTCAAGATGGGTGCCAAGTACAGAGTCTTGATGCACATGCAGCTGAGTCATCCTGGCTTTGGGAAGGTGGAAGAGAACACCTCTGACCCTTGATAAAAGGGTGACACCTACCTTTTAAAAGTGTTGTACTCCTGTCCCTTGCTGAAAGGGACAGGAAAGCAGCTTTGTTTCCACTCAGAAAAAAGGGGTATGAGAGAACACCTTTGGGTCACACCTACCTTTTAAAGGTGTAGTACTCCTGTCCCTTGCTGAAAGGGACAGGAAAGCAGCTTAAGTTTCCACCCAGAAAAAAGGCTGCGCAGCTGTCACTTCCTATTGATTTTCCTTTTGATTTGGCATGCCAAACCAGGGTCTGATTTTATTGATTTAATTGATACCATTTTCTTTGATTTTAATACGATCAAAATCAAATATGTTCTATGGAAAAAAATCAATATCAATAGAGATTTGACCTTATTGATTTAAATCAATAGCCGATCCTCAGGGTTACTCCCTTCAACAATGCCCTCGAAATCGGTTGGTCGATCGACACTGGCCTGAGAGGCATCGGAAAACACTTCCAAAACATCTTCAGCTGGATCCGAAAGGCTTTCCAAAAGTGGTGGAATGCCTGAGTCAAAAGATGCTTCAGCCAGGTTCGCACTCTCGCGGGTCTGAGTGGTGCTTGAGTTGGCACGATTTGGACACTCAGCCCGCCAGTGTCCGCGTTCACCGCAAGCTCGACAATGTGATCTAGCGATCCGTGCCAAGAGCTGTTCACGCTTCTTTCCCTTGCCTCCTCCCTTCGCAATCTTACCCTTTTTTCCTCCTTTGGAGTAGGGATTTGAACTCGACTGCACTGGCCAGAATCCTCGGGTCTTCCGCTTGTCTTGCAACTTCTGTCTCGCATCAATGTAAGTCACCAATGCATCATGCATCGATGGAGTGTCCTGCAGAAACTCTTCCAATTCCTGTTCGAATTTTTGCACTGCGCAAGCGTCCTCGTCGTTCTGGGCGACTAGTGCTTCAATGTAATCTCCATCAACTTCGTCGTCCAACGCAGTCAAGAAGGTGAGTGCTTCCGTCGATGACGCTGGATGCGAGACCCCTGATTCTGCATCATGGGAGGCAGCAAAAGCCGGTTCGCTATCACATTCTGTCAAATTGACATCATAGACCTTAGTCTTTGAACTCTTGTTGCCCTGCAAATCTTGGAAAAAACGGCTGCCCAGCAAACGAAAGGCCTTAGTGACCTCAGGGTACCTCAACTTGCCACCTTGGTCAAGAACAATCTTCTTGCGGTCATCGGGTAACAATGTCGACTGGCGTAAAAGGACATACGCTCGAATCTCCTCAAGGGTCGTGCCCCTTGCAAGCAGCTCGTCAAAATGCACCTCTGATCTGGCGACATACGAGTCGTGACTTTCGTCGCTCTTCTGCAGGGTGCCATAGAGGGCTCGCTCAAAAGTTTCATACTGTTCTTCCAACATGGTCATGCCCCAGGATCCACCTAGAGTCTCAACCAGGGTGATGACCCCGTCAACTGAATTGGTCTTCAACTTTTCAGGTGAAATCCTCATGACCTTGTGGAAGGCCGCACCTTCAACCAACAACGCCGCACGGGGCGCTAGCACCTCAAGATGCTCCTTTGGCCAGATGCTGGCAATGAATTTCATCTTTTGAGTGTATTCCTGGACATTCGTCGTTTCAGGAATGAACTTAGGAAGACTGGACCATGGGAGCGACGTGGAACTCGACACGCTGCTCGAGGCCTCCTCGGGAACAGGAATCGACGATGCATCCGCTGGTGGAGGCATTTCAACAAGCCGTCAACAAGGCGTGTCGCCTTCAATGCTCAATGTGTCAATTGCCCAACTTAATGCACCCTTTCAAAGTCTAAAGCAACAGTGTCAGCCCACCGACAATGTTCGCCTGCAATGAACAATGCACCGATGCTCAATGTACAACACCAAGCAGCAACACATTCCAGCAATGTACAATGCTCAATGTGATCAGCCGATGGTCAACACCAAGCAACCAACAGAGCAACCAATGTCAACGTTGTATGACGACACGCAACAACGTGATGCAAGATCAAAATTGAAGCTGTCCGGTGGAGTCCGCTCAAAATGCAAGAACTGTCAGCCGTGTCCGGTTATCGTCCGTTCGAACGCAAGAGCACGACCGTCACACTGGTCAGCAAAGCCCTGGATCCCACTCTTCGGAGCAACAGGCTCCGCTACCAATGTGAAATTGGTAGCGGGCCAACCTCAACAACAACAGGTGGAAACCCCGTTTCCAGTGAAGCCCTGCTTCAAGAGGAGCACAACCTCAAAGGAATGGACCCTGTCCAAAAGGCTGGAGCACCGCTCCACCGCAGCCCGCCCTATGGCTCGCGCTTCTCCTCAAGCGCTATGGCTCCCAGCCCTCCCACCTCGAGCCCCTTCTGGCATCGGTGAGAGTCAAGCGTGACGAGACACCTGGAGATCCTAGGCTGGTGAGTATACACGTTTCACAGGGAAGATTGCCGCATACATAGCTATACACCCTAGAAGTCCAAAGACTATACTTTTCTATCGTAAAGTAAAAGACATTCCTTTTCAGGCACCCTAGTCAGACCATTCTTTTTGTAGTCATTGACTCTGAGGGTTGCATATCCTAACATTCACCTCGACTTTGGGAGCTAAACTATAGGGAGACCTCCAAGTTTGACCTACAAAAAGACCTGCTTCGGAACATCGACAACCAGTCTACCATCACAGTCTAGCATCCCTGGGCGATTCCCTATACCAATACACCACACCCTCTTGGACCTTTTCAACCCCAGTTCTGGGCGTTTCCGACCCCCTTCCCCCCCCACCCAGGGTCGAAGGGTTGAGGAAGGCCCCAGGAACGGCCAGGAAGCGGGAAGGTCGATGCGGCCACCGCAGAAGCGAAAGAACCACGACGTCTGGTGTGGTGCATTGGGGGCGTGTTTATAGCTTGACTTGGCCACATGACTTAACCCATCCAATGGACAGAATTGGGTCCTTGGGTCCGGTGTACCGTGGAATATATATGTGTTCAACCCAGTTTAAATAGGGTCACAAAGCAACTTGGAGATGAAGACATGAAGCTGGTCCGGTCTGACCGATGGCTAGCATGGGTTTGGGGTGCCTTCCCGTCTTTGTGTGCTATTCCCAAGAAACTGCCTTCACACCCTTAGCACCGGAACGGGTACCGCAGTCCGAATATGTCTGTGACTGTCACACCTCTCCGCACCACAGTGGGTCATCATCCCCCCGCCACTGGGCCCTGCGGTTGAAGAAAGAACTCCTGCACCAAGAACTCGTGCCGGATGCACATTCTGTGCCATCTGTGCCTGGGTGTTTTCCAACAACAGCACCATCAGTTAGTTTGATCGTTTGTTCCTGCCTTTGGTGTAGATGTTGTAGAACGCGACCAACCCAACGATCCCGGCGATGCCACCGGATCTTTTCTCCATCGTCCCAGATGTTGCTGCCAGGCGTCCCGTATTGGCCAGTAAGCCAGAAGGGATGCCAGAATCATCAAGACCATCAGCAGCTTCAAAAGGGAAGAGCCTCCACTCTTCTTGTGATTCGTCGGCAGGTCGTCCTGCTCATCCTGCGCTTCAGCCAGTGGATTTCTGAAGGTGGTTCTTCAAGGAAAAACATCTGTTTGGCAAGGAGCATGGCCAACTCCCATCTCTTCCAGACAACCCACTGGCGGGACACCGGCGGACCCAACAGGGAAAACCGCTCGTTGTTCACGGTGGATGATTGACTACACTTGATTGGGCGCAATGAGGGCTACCACTCTACAGTGAGGCACCAGTTAACCTTCAGTGGAGCTTGGACACATCCAATCTAAACCTTTAATGAATCGTCTCCAAGTGTTTCTCGTGACCTGCGCTGTCACCTGGACCTAGAGGAGACCTGGACCATGGTCATGGAAAGTCGATTTCCTCAACAAAGACCCTGCCAAAAGGTTCATGCCACTCCCAGTCCCGGAACGGAACTGACGGACGGAGGAAGTCACCCTCTTTTCAGCATCATCGTCACTCGCGAAGCTCAGGGTGATGATACTACCAATGCACGGTTGCAAGAGGTTGGCAGCCCCATTCCTTCATCTTTCTGAGCATTTCGCTACAGGCCTCCCTGACATCAAGCACATGACTGGGCGCATAGATGTGAATGTCACTTCCAGCCGCCTGTTGTCCGGCACCCGTGTCACAAAAGCGGACTTTGCCCCCAGGATGCTTTAGAAAATGAAGGCCGAAAGGACTGTAGATAGCAAGCCAAAGCTCATTTAACTTATCCAGATCACGAAGACTGTCACTGGCACTCTTGATGCCCGAGAACGTACAACGCCAGCATGTTTTGCCTTTGTTGAAGCGCATCTGTCCGTGCTTGACTTCCACTGCCACTCCTCCACGTACCCAGTTTGCAGTAGGACAATGCCTTGAAAACGACAAATTTTGATGGAGACACTGATCCAGTTCAAATGCTATTTCCTCTATGCGCGTACCACGCAATCGCGGTGTCATATGGTTCAGGGGCACTCTCTTATATGCATTGTCCTGACGAGGTGCCACTCCATCCATTTCCAACAGCAGCCAGTCACGAACTTCAACATCCGATAACTCAACGCGGGCTACAAGTTTGCAGCGACCTCCAACAAGCAGTTTCTCCAGAATTTGAGATCGCGCAGTTTGCCAACACTCTTGTCCGCTAGCACCATCAACATGTATGTCGTGACCGCTACTTGCTGTTCGCTTGCCACTTGAGGTGACTCTGGTCTGAAGGTCATGCTTGATGATATGCAAACTGTCCGGGCTGAAGATTGTGAGATACAACTCATCAAAGGGAGCCTGGTCCCGAAATCCAGGCCATGGCAACTTGATGTGCTGAAACTTGACGCGCCAATGCTTTGCGTGTTTCCCCCAAGACATCTGCGCACTCTTACACCGAACTTTGCGGCCATCCATACTAAAGTCATACTCAGCTTGTGAAGCTGACCTTCGAGCTCCATTGCAACAGGTGCCTAGACGAGGTTCCTCGATTTTACTGTCCGGATGCAGCTGGGCCAGCGTCTTCTTGCAAAAGTCGTTCAGGATCATCCCACGTCGCTTCCCAGACAGCAAGGACAGTTCATGGCCAGCATGATCTGCGTAGGCCTTGCTGGTCTGTCCTGGGTCATGAAGAAGGTGCTGGAACTGCGAGGCAGGCAGCTCTAAATAACACCTCAACTGCCATCCAACACGCAACGCGAACAACGCAATGGCTACAGGCACCCCTTGCCGCAACATTTCGGCATTCGAGCCAACATTCTTGGCGAAAAACGGCTGAGCCAAAAAGGCACTGCAAAAGACACCAGGGCCTCAATTGGAACCACATCCATTACACCGCCTATGAGCGAAGACGGGTTTGTGTTTTGGGCCGGGTGCGTGTTGAAAAACCGTGGACGTCTCCTGAAGCATCAGCCTCGGAATCTTCATTAGACTCATATTAGACTTCTCCTTCTTTTCACCTGACCTTTGAGATATGGAGTTCAACCTCACCAGTCTGCTTCGCTTTTCAGTCAGATTTCCATGGAAGGTTCGCCCGGATCTCGCGCTCCGGCTTCACCATCCAAAAGCGTCTGTTTCGCCGGTATTTTTTTCAGGCACTGACCCCCAAGCGGGACATGTCTGAAGCATCAGGTGAACTGTCTGAAGCATCTGTTCCCTGATGTTCACAGATGAAAGGTTTGGGGACTCCCCAATAAGCTATGTTCCCCAATAAGCTCCGTTCTATCAGGTGAACTGCTTCTTGGGGAGTCCCCAAATCCCCGCAAAAAGGCGTCAGGTTCTCCACAAATTCCTGGGTAGGCCAACACGGGTGTTTTCACATGCCCGACCGACGACCCGAGTTCGTTCGGAAACCACCGGAACGACTCGACCGATCTTGGACGGTGCTAGGTATGACTTCCCCCCCACATGTTTTGCCGCTCAAAGGGTCTGTGCCCACGAGCTACTCTTTTTTAAACACGATCCCAGTCGGCGAAAAAGGCTGACTTGGCTCCAGGGAGTACTCTTCCTATTTCACTGCGCCAAAAGAATCTCGTGGCTTGCGATGAAGGGCATGTTGCAATGAGAATGGCTGTAGTATCAATTTGCCGCAGTTGTTCTGCCCTCCGTTCCCCCCCGGACGCTGCATGGCTACGCTGCACCCGCCCGACGGGCGACGCGGCACCCGAGCCCGGCCTCTCGCGTCACCTCCCCCGTCCGCAGCAGCTGCCGCGCGCGGCGCGCCGCCGCGGCGTCGAGGCGTGCGAAGGGCGCGGGCACGCCGCAGCTGTAGGCCACGACGGCCTGGCGATAGGGGGGGAGGGACTGGTAAGAAATATGGGTACTAGCCAACTGCACCAAATGGAAGGTTAAGAAAGCTTTGTAAAATGTTGAATCAAATGAACAAATTAAGCTCCATATATCTTTAAGGACCACACCGATCTTGGTTTTGCATACCATTTCGGCCGATGCTCCGGTTCGTAGTGTACAGATACAGGGGTATTTCCGTAGTCCATCGGAGGTCTCACACCACTAGTCCACCACAACCCGTTACAAAATGTAACAAGGGGGTGCGTGGATGCGCGCCTGACAAGACAGTCCGCAAGTCCGTTCATCCAGTAGGGGGAATTCATTGATATTCAATAATCAAGAGTCTACATTACTAACCAACTTCTGGATGGTTTATAAACCAACCTCGTCTGGTTTGGGGTGGCCTGGCAGGTTCATCCTCCAAACCTCTAAAATGTTCTTCTGAGGGAAGCCCAAGGAACTGGTCTAAAAACGCTTCAGCCATCTTCACAATGGGCTCTTTAAAACATGTGCCAGCCACTTCGTCTTCAGGCTACTTAGACGAATCTGGATGAAGGCGCCAACCAAATGATGTGTCTCAAGATACGATCGCTCCACCAGGGACGACCGGAACGTCGACAATCACTCGGAAGGTCGCTTGGGCTGGCTGGCTGACGATGCTGAAACCATGTTCACGACATGTATACCAGACCAGAATAGGTATGTCCGTATGTATTCACGTATTCTGGTATGTCTGACCATGTTCCGACAGGTATACCATGTTGCTGAATCAAATCCGTTTTCAGACCAGACCAGTGAAGATGGCTTTGGGGAGCCCATGTGAAGATGGCTGAAGCCTAGTTTTAGACTTTACATTTAAAAGAGCTCTGTCATGCGCAATTAGCGTCGTTTGTCTATAGCTGCCGTGATCTGATCTGCCCTGCAATGAATTACTAATTTCATGCAGCTGTCCCTTCTAGCTGCCCTATTGTTAGTTGTAGGACATGAATAATTAATATTAGTTCGTTCTTCACGTAAATAGCAATAAATTAATGACTTAATGATATGAATTCTAATGTAAAATATGTAGATTGAACTGGAGCACCTGCAAAAATTTTGTCAGCGCTCCGAACGCCATGAGAACTCCGTACTCCTATGGCTTCAGGGTACCGGCAGAGGAGAGCTAGCTCTGAGCTCCTGAGTCTCCCGCAGGTCCCCTTCCAAAGCGAGCCACCCCCAAGCAAATTCCCAAGGTGAAACAACATAAACCTCACTAACTACGCTCCCCATCGCCACAAGCAGAATTTTCTTTTGTTGGGTTCTATTATTGCAACGCATTTCCCTGCGAAGTTTCGTTCACAACAAGCGGAGAACACACCTCAACACACCTCCGCACCTCATCCCTTTTTCCAAAAACAATCCTCCAGATCCACACCTTGGCCACCTCTGCATCCACCGGCCAGCGCAGCGTCTCCCGCGCCGTGGGCGCCGCGCCGCGCCGTGCCGCGTGCAGCTGCCGCTCGAGCGCCGGGCTGGCGGCGGCCAGAAGGAGCCGCGAGGCCCGGACCGCGGTGCTCGTGGTGCCCGGTCGGTCGGGGAAGATGTGCCTCTGGAGAGATGGAGTCTTTTAGTTGTATATGTTTCTTTTTTTCTGATATTCCGTTTCTCAAAATTTACTTTTGGGGGTGTAGAACTGTGAAACAACTGATTGGATGATTGTTTGACCATGTGCATTTCCCGGTCTTAGCTCTGGGGGGATGTGAGGATCAAGTGAATTGGCCGCCCAAATAGCTGGTGGGGCCGGTCGTGAAGGATGGTGGACCACGTCCAAAACCCGGACCCATCGATACACAGAAGAGGACCCACATGGAACCTGGGTGTAGCTGTTGGAACCTGGGTGTAGTTAGCTGTTGGAACTTGGGTGGGCCAGTGAGCACTTCCACCAAAGTTTGGTTTTCTCTGCGAGTGATTCACATCCCTTCCTGGGTAGCTCAGGAGTCCGAAGTTGAGATGGATGAAGGAAGGGGTGGTGAGCTGGGCCAGCTGCCAGCGTGAGGAAGGGGTGAAGGAAGAGCTGATCCGGATCAATGTTCAGGTCTATGCTCGAGAAAGTCGAAACTTTCTCCACTTCACCTACCTATATGCTAACCATGTAAAATCAGCATGTATTCACACGTCTCCGACACCTTGCCCTGTCCGTCTGTCCACGATTTTTCAGCCAAAGGCAGAGGTTCCTCCGCAAAAGAACCCCTTCCCTTGCACCAGTCAAAACCGGCCTCGTTGTCCGGTCGACCCCCCTTACCCTTTGCGCCGCGTTGCAGGTCGCAGAACTCTGGCTGCTGGACCAGCTCCACCAACCGCGCGGAGTTTGTTCTCCCGCCGTCCATGGCGGTGAGTGGCAAGGCGCTGTGGTCGTGAAGTGTCGGTTTTGGAGCAATAAAGAAGAATCCAATGAGGCTTGAATAAGTTACTTGGTTCTTGAGGTTCTTGGACACTTTGTCTGAGATACTCTTGAATGAAAAGGGGACAGGATGTTGCCGGCTCCCTACAGAGGGATTTCTGCCTGAAATCGTTGGTCTAGTGATCGGACAAGAAGGCCAACCCTTTCGAGGTATGCAAATGCACCACCAAGAGAGGTTGAACAGCCCTTTTTGGCCCATCTCATATGTACCACAGACCAGGGTCCTAGTTCTGGTCTCTCAACCTCTCTTGGCATGTTGTTGTCCATGTTGACCTTTGGTTGATCAACTTAATCCGCTTCATCGATGGATACAGTTGCGACAACTTGATACAACTTGCCTTCCACAGGGTGGCTTTTTCTGTGAAACGCAGTCGAACGAGAGATGAATTACGAGATCTTTTGTGTCGAAAACAGGTCAAACGGCCCACAACATCCACAATAGTATAACACCTGTTTTAATTACCATAACCTGCAGTCACAAAGGGGTGCTTAATAGAAATTCGGAGTGCCCGAACATCCACTCACTGGATGGGACTAAAAACCACCCCGTCTTGTGACCCCTGGAACAAAGTTCTTTTTTTTGTGTGCCTCTTGAAGCACCTATTCCTTTTGAAGCTGAAGCCACCGTCGGTTCCACATTGCAGCACCGTCGGTCGGTCCGTCGGACCGATCCGTCGGTGTGAACACCCGTTGGGGCCACGTGTGCAGGCCGTGGAGACGTGTGAAGAAAAACAAAAACAGAAGGCGAACAACATGTCTCCTCTGGGGGATGAACTACCAGAAGGGGATTATATATCTCCAGAAGGGGATTTAACATGATTTAACTACCAGCACCCGACTGGATAAAGGTCTCCTCTGGAGGCTTTTGACCTAAAAGTCCCAGTTGCGGTGACCTGTGAAGTCGGGTGCTGGTATAGGGAAAATGAACACATCACCTGATCCGCAAAACCAGGTTCAATTGTGGGGCCGTGCCAACGGCCAGTGTTGACCAGTGAGTTCGCCACCACCGCCCGCAGGCCTGCTGGCCTCCATCAAACCGCCCGGTGGGGTCGAATTCACAGGTTGAAATTGAAAGGATCCAATGGTTTTTGCAGTGTGGAAGCTCATGTGGGACATGGACATTGATCCGTGAGTGGTGTACATTGGTGTACTATCCATTCCCTATGGATCCACATACTGAGGTACGGTGAGGACGGAGACTAAGTTCCTGGTCCGTTCGGACGCCTTCTGAGGTACGGTGGCAGTGGATCCATCAAAAAAGAACTGTTCGTCCTCCGTTTCGTCACTTTCGCCCCTCCAGTGGTCCACCCTCGGGCTGGTTTTGGGTCGGCGACCAATCGCTCACAGGTCACCGCTGGGCGAGGGAGAGTTATTACCTTTAGACTCATCACTGTAGCGGGGCATGCAAATGTAAGGCCTACAAGGCCCTATACATATTTGATAGGAGTACAGTACATAACTGAGTACATATGCCTACTAGGATTACAGTATATACATATCGATTCATATCGGTCATAATCACGTTCTATCACTTTGCTTCTTGTCCGAAAGGTGTAACATGCGTGTATTTGGAGCATGCATATTGCAGTGCACAGTTGCTCGGTCTAGGAAAGCACAATGGCAAGTCTCATACCATTGATGTCCGACAGTGGGAGTTCCAGGGCAAATCCCTCAATGTCTCATGTGTGTCACGTAGACTGCCGGCCAGCCTTCTATACCCTGGTTTCCCCTGCCTACCAGCAATGAAGTGCCAAAGTCGCCAAACAACACCCCAGCACAAGTGTCTCCCTGAAAAAGATGAGCTGAACTATATAATACTGTGAAGTTCTTCTCCCCATGATCAACCTAACAACAGCACTGGGCGTTGGGAACAAAAGGGGCCAACATTTTTTCAAGCTGATCTCTCCAAGTTAGGAACACCCCCCTTCTTTCGCTCAACAAAGGTTGAAGAACCCTATAGACTATCCCAG